ACCAACGTATGCAGGTGCGTTTAACATTCACGCGAATGTTTGAAAACATTTTATCAGTTTACGTTTTTTCTTTCAGAGATGCTAGCATGATGTCGATGCGCCGCAAAATAGCCGGCCTTACCCCGGAGCAGATACGACAATTGGCTACAGAAGAAGTTGATCTTCCCGTTTCGAATCAGGATTTTACTGAAGCCATTAGCCGCTGCAATAAAAGTGTTTCCAAAGCGGATCTGGAAAAATACGAAAAATGGATGAATGAATTCGGTTCGTCATGATGACTTTATGCCAAAGCGTACGCAATGGATATAGATGTCGATGCGGGAACAATACTGCATTTGCTGCAGTGATGTGTAGCATTTAATTTACAAATAACTATAATATAGAAATTGAAGGAGTGTACGTTTGGCCAAAAACTGGCTGTAACACAACTTGATTTTGGATTAGCTTAGCTAGCGAAGTTTTGAATGAGTTAAAAGAATGCAAAATTTAAATTGAGGAACAAACGGAGAACAATTTTATAAAACTTGCAATTAATAAGACTAACAAAACAACCTAACGCGAATATATAAAAAATAAATACTTCAATTTTGCAACTAACCTAAGAAGTAGTTTCAGCTTAATATTTCAATAATAAGTTGCGCATTTGGAATTGAATACTATAGTTTGATTTTTTGTTTATTAAATATTTTTGCATATTTGCGTATCGCCGGATTGTTGGCACACAAGCCCCAATATGTTTTTTCAGTGGTGTTTGCCATTTAGTTCACTTACGCATACAAAATGCTACCACAACCGGTAAACTCTTTTTTTTAACGAAATAAAGATTGTATTTGGGTTACGAATATCTTTTAACACGACTAAATTAATTTTTTCTGTTTGCTTTTTATAAGTGCATTAATTTTTTAAATCGAGATCTCGGAATAAAATGATGCTGCTATTCTTATTTATAATGCATTATAAAGGAAAATTATTAATATACGTAAGTGAATTGTGTCGTAAATAATGTAATTTATTAGTTCCTTCTATACAAAGTTCCTAGGAAGCCTATTGTCTACACAAAAACTTATGCATTTCTGAAAATCTTACTCTTTATCACTACGTAACATTTTAACAATACTACCATACTTAAAAAATAAGATTTTTATATTTAAAATTATCGCCGCTACTCGAATATTCTGTACGTCGTATTATGCATTTCGAAATTCAGCATGTAACAGCACTGTTGTTTAAAGGCAGTACACGATAACGGGCCGATTGATACTAATAAGGGCGTGGCGGTGGCATTGGCATCATGGGTCCCAATGGATATGGTACACTGCCGCCACCCATGCCAGCTACACCTGGGTTCGGGTAGAATCCACTGTTTGGTAGCAAATTACCATAGGCAGGCATAGCGCCACCAATGCTACCACGCTGAGCAGCCTGTGTTTGTTTTCGCATTAGCTCGTGCATTTTCTCTGCTTTGAGCTTGCGTAGGTGCATTGTTTTGCGTGCGGCCAAGAATTCGTCTAGAAATGCTTCCACTCCAATCTCATTGTCAGTGAATTGTTTGATCAAAGCATCAGTTGCTTCCTCACTTTCAGCGGCTGCAGTTTGTATTAACGCCAAGGCTGTTTCCTGGCTAACGTTGCCAGATTTCTCTTTCACTTCTGCTAGTTTATCCTGCACTGCCTCACAGCACTGTTTGGCTTCCTCGAGCAGTTCATTTACTTTGCCACGTAATTCTATGATCTTGGGTTCTTTTTCTATATTACTCTCAGCTTTCGAACGATTTTCGATGAGTAGATTGTCCTTTTGAGCTTTAAGACCTTCCAACACTTCGCTCACTTTTTCATCTAGCTTTTCGTCATCGTTGAGCAAATCCTTCAATTCGTCTGATGAAAGTGGTGCTATCGACGTTTGCAGCTGATTTAAATATTCTTGATACATTTCTGTTTTTATGTGCGTACAATATTTTGCTAGTATGACTATCCGTATTTAATAAATATATTTGTTTTCTACTTTTTAGCGTTATTTCCGAAATTGCGACTTATGACTGGACTTCTACAAAAATCAACAATTCGACATTTAATCCACTGCATTCCCAGCCGCTCTTGCGCTGCTGTATCGACTAAAGTGCAAGAATTTAGGTTTGTTCCACACGAGTGCGTGGGTGCCCAAAACACCCCAGAAAGCTCTACCCAGCGGACAGCGGACGACGGTTGAGCGGTCGGCGAAAATTGAACAGCTGCACAGTTGCCGCAGTGAAATCCGTCAGAGTAAAGACAATAGCGGCGCACGGCGGCTCATTTTTTATTGAAGTAGAGCTCATTATCTAACCAAAACCATATAAACCGAATTCCAAACTTTGGTAAAAAATAAAATCAAGAATATTTTATTCGAAGACTGAAATAAATAAATAATCAATCTCTTTTTTCACTTAAAAAGCGCTAGTGCGACATTTCTAGAAATTAATTTATTACGAAATTCATGAAGTTAAATGTAAACTATAAAGTCCCTGTAATTTTCTTTTAACGTTCCCCCACGGCGATTTGTTTTGAATTCAATTCAATTTTTTACAAACGATTACTCGGTTTTCCTTTTTTTATACAGCTGTACTGTAAAATTTGCTGACTGTACTTGTAGATACTGCCAATATAGAAGTATTACATACATATATGGCTGGAAATAAAAATGGTTAAAAGTGTTTGCAAACTTGTGAATACAATAGAAATTATAACAATCAACAATGTGAAATAAATTTAAATCAACCGAAAAAAGTTGGCGGTAATATGCTGCTGCCGCAACTATGTGCCATTCCATATGACTTCGTGAGTTTTGATTTTGACAGCGGTTAACCGCCGACCGCTTTAGCGTCGTCCGCTACAATTCTGGGTAGAGCTGAAAGCGTTCCTCACGCCAGAAAAATGGATATAAGAGAGCGAATACCTCCATTATCGACGTTTTCGATATCATGCATATAACATGTGATCGATAAAGCAGTGTTTGTTTATAACCCATGGTCCACTTCTCTGCTCACCTCCTCGCCTACGAACCGAGCAGACTTGAAAGCAAGACTTGACGTGTCTAAAAGGGGTCTTATATGCGTGGAGTTGAAAACGTCGATAACGATGTTAACTGATAATTACGGCCCGTCTCCAATGTAAACAAACACTGCATGCCTTATACCATGTTCTGACCGACAACGAAAACACTTTGAAAACGAGTTTTGGGATTGTGGGCTGAAGACTGTTCACACCGGCTGTTAGTGTTTTCGTTGACATTTCTTACATCCTCTGATTACAGTTTCGCTACGCAAAAACAAAACCAAAGTGCTTTTCCCTCATTTTATTTTCATTAGCACCCTCTTACTTTCATTCTTATTTTCCAATTAACAATAAATCCGAAATGGCGTATTAAAGATGATAAAATATGACTTCCACCTCGATAAATAATCGAAAAAAAACCAGTGCATACACCGATTGGAATGAGTGGAACGTGAGTTTTCAAGTAGTTTTCAGCGAAAACTAGTTTTCGTTTGACAGATTCTGCTTGGACGAAAACACATTTTTTAGGTCGAAATCTAGTTTTGGCAACGAAAGCATGTTTTCGATGTCGGTCAGAACATGGCATTATATTTTTTAACACGTTTTGGGCACAAAAGAGGCAAAAGAGGTCTACGACTCCATACATATAGCACGGTTTCGATAACGTCGATAACGATGTTTAACCGCCGATTAGTGATAACCAGACATTGAGTAACCGGCCCTTAGTTTTGCATGAGAGTTGTCACATAAGAATCTGTTAAATGGGCTTTGCGTGTAAGCGGTTACACATCGCATAGCACTTCACAATGTGAATGTCACGCAGAAGTCTGTTGAGTTTTGAGACTCACGTAAAAATGGTATAGAGTGAAAAGTATGCATAACTCAGATATACATTTTTTAATTAAAGGTAAAGCTCATTTAATAGCCCAGATATACATACTTGTAATTTCACTATGAGTATGCATTACTGAGCTATTAAATCTTGTTTGTGCCCTCTGTGTACATATAAAAGGATGAAAACCATTGTCAATGGTTTTGTAAAATTTTCATTGTTTTGTTGGCACATAGTTGGCAAGTCGATTCCAACGGATTGTGGGCGGCATTGATGACTTCCACATTCGATTGACTCTCGAAGCTGGCAATGCTGTGCAAACACTTCCATTCGCGTGCGCCATTTTGATATATTCGTGTATTTCGGCGTAGTGCAATTGACTTAAAATTTCAATAAAATACTCTAATTTTAAACAAAAATAAATATTATAAACGTTAATAAAAGGTGCAGAATCCCTAAGAGTGTATAAGTTTGAATGAAAATGTAGTGCAAAGTGCGATTGAAAAAGGACTAGCGGACAGTGAAAAATTTTCAGACTACACAGAAATTTGTTCGTGGCCCGAAAGCGAAGCGTTTCTTCGGTCTCGTGGATTCAACGCATATGAAGGAAAAAGAAAATCGAAAATTACCAACTTTCCCCTTGAAAAACTGTGAAAATGTATATTATTAGAGTAGCAGGATAAATGCAGAGAATCGAGGAACTCTTTAAAATTGACTGGGATAGTTTTATGTCTGCAAAATAAAGGTGTGTATTTGAGTTAAGAGAAAAACTGTGAAACTCAAAAGCTGTTTATGTGAAAGTGATTACGACAAATGGGAGTGAATAGTTTTGCAATATTATTGTACAATTCATATTTTCATAGTTTAAAAGTGCAAGGAAAAACAGGTGCGGCGAGAAATAAGGCTCGCTTGGCATCGAATATTGCATATATTCGCTGGATGGTCTGAATGAATCGTCTGCGCAAACAAAAATTACCGAACAGCCTCCGGGTGGAGTCCTCGTACAATTTTGACATCGCTTGGGGCATAAAACTAGGAAGCGGGGCCATCACTACCCTCTTTCTACGTAATTTGCAAAATTAAGCAGAGTATATAAAGTATTTGGTGTCGACATTACACACTAAAAAGTCATCGACGGATGAATAGTTGAAGGAATTGAAAGAAGTATAAAAAGGAACAGGCATAATGAATACAAGCAAGAAATAGACGATCAAAGGCAAAGACATAATAAGCAAAAGCAGAGAAACTCGTTTTGTTTTCTTTTTTAGTACAATGTTCGTCGTACCATCGTTTAGCAGAAGTGAAGTACAATCGTCGGCAATGGCCATCGTTCCTGCATGGTAATTGTTGTTGCAAACATCACAGAGTACTTACAGTTGTCTCTCTCAGACCTATTGGAGTTTAAAGGTAAAAAAAGCCGCATGCGAGTGGTATACTTGGAAAGCGGGTAGGGAACAACGAAAAAACAAAACAAAGCTCAACATAGCAGAGTATAACATAGAACAGCAGAGGTAGCAGCGTATTGAAACTCAACGACTACGAATAATAGGAAGAGGCAGATTGTGAAAAGCAGTGCAAAGCAGCGCCGCTGTCTTATTTGAAATGTTTATGTAGTGAACTAGTGGGAATTGCTGGTGAAAAATCGTGAGTGTATCGTGCACTGGAAGAGGGGATAGGTGGTGAAGTGGAAGGGAAAAGCCGTATACAGATTGTTGGTGATTAATCGGACAGTTTTTGTTACAACTCTTCTTTAGCACAAACGACGTGAGCAACACTGCACTCTGTGAACTCTGTACACGTTCGAATATATTGCTTGATTCAGGAGTATTTGACAGTGCTGCTTACTCCGGTACATTTGTATGTGCGGCCCGTTGCAGTGATGATTTGAATACGTAAGTTTGATAAAAGCATATTTGTTATTGTGTTAAAACAATTAAAATTTAAGTTATTCCAATTGGTAGTTGTAAGCTTTTGAGCAAGTTAGTTGGGGTATTCACAATGTTGTCGTAAGTGTCGTATTATTGTATAACGTAAGGTACCAATTCACATTCCTAGATCCGACTGTCGTGGGAATGTTAGGTTTTCATTTGTTCGAGATACCGCACATTTTTCAAAATTATATGGCATGTTCTGCAAATCGTGCGATTTCAATTCGGTGGGATTTCCATAATCTATTTCGGTGGATTTATAACAAAGAGGGAAAGGTTGGCTCTAAACCAATGGATATAACGTAAATGATGTATTTCTATCAGTTCCCATTTGAAAGATTTAATACTTTGATTACAAATATACAACAATACTTTACAAATCGCACCGATTTGAAATCGTACGATTTGCATAGGTCTAATTTATAACTAAAAG